CGAGGCTGCGGTGGCCGGGAGCGGCCACTGCACTCCAGTCTGGACAAAAGAGTGAGACTCCAACTCAAAAAAAAAAAAAAAAAAATTACATAAATATAATTTCATGGTCAGAGTTCCTTTCAACCCAAAAGCTCAAAACCATTTTAAAAGCCTTATTAATCTTCACAAATGTTGTGTGTGAACATTAACTATTACCTTTTGCAAACTGCTCACGGGCTAACTTGCACTAAGGAGGGGCAAGGGCCTGCAGGACAGTCCCTGGGCACACTTAAGGAGCCCCACGGAGTCACACTCTCCCGGTGTGGTGCCACCTGTCAGTGCCCTACTCTCCCTTATCAAGGAGAACTGCTGGTCTCAGAGGGACCTCGGCATTATCTAAATGGCACCACAATGGTAAGCAGAGAAAGAAGCGGAGATCCGAGGAGGTGTGGCCTGCCTGTCTCAGGGTGGCTGAGCCCGGCCCACAGCAGGGTGGTTAGGCTAAGCAGTGATGCTCATTCCAGGACCACCCCCTTTACCCCGCTTCCCCTCAAGTGTGGCACAGCCCCAGAGGCTAAGCTAATCCACGTGTTTAGTGATTCTTTCCAGTGGCAGGCTCACTCTCAATCACACTGCCCATCTTCGATTTCAAGTCAATAGCTAGCAGGTATTACAGGGCACAGTCGGATCACCTGTGATCAAAATTCCATACCAGGGTGTCTGACCTTTAAATTCAAATTTTTTTTATTATGAACAAAGCCGTGCTAACCTAGATGATTCCAACAATCATATTCTTTGGTAGATCCATGTAGTTATCATGGCTAACTCACCCTTGCTCTAAGTCTCACTTGATAATTTTCTATTTTATTTTCTCTGCACTTCTTTACTTACAAACACACCCTTTTGTTCACTAAATACAAGTTCTGATTGATATAGGTGAATACTCTGTGAAACTGTTTGCCACAAAACAATTTTTAGCTACTGTTACTCTCTGTGTCTTACTCTCAGGCTTTCTATCTCAGTATTTTTAGTATCTTTACAGTCTCAGGGTCTCTATGCTTAACATAAGTTTTCAAAAAGAACTACTTAGCCGGGCTCGGTGGCTCAGCCTGTAATCCCGCGCCTTTGGGAGGCTGAGGTGAGTGGATTGCCTGAGCCCGCGGGTTTGAGACCCGCCTGGGCAGCGAGACCTCATCTCTACAATAAATCAAAAAACCAGCCGGGCGTGGTAGCGCGTGCCTGTAATTCCGGCTACTCGGAAGGCTGAGGCAGAAGATCGCCGGAGCCCAGCACGTCGAGGCTGCGGTGCCCGGGAGCGGCCACTGCACTCCA